TCAGGAGTAAGTGAAATATGAGGGTGTTCCGTGTCAGCAACCCGAAACCAGTGAGGAAGGCCGATCATCAAGGAGCGAATGGAACATCCTGGAGGGCTTCCCGGAGAAGGGGGCATCTGGGTGACTCTCAGGTGATGGGTTGGATTTTGCCAGAGTTCCTCCGGTGGGAGTGTGGGGTTGCTGCATCGTACTGGAAATGTTGAATTTAATCTTCAGTGTTCCTGAAAGTAGTCTGGAGAAAGGTTCACAAAGAGAAAGAGGCAAGTCATAGGCTGATAGGACATATTTACAATATGCATTTATATTCGATGAAGGACTTGTATCCAAAATATGTAAAAATTATAACTTTATCAGAAAGAAAGATCGCCCGGGAGAAAAAACGAAGAGAAGTGAAGACAGTTTACCAAAGCGGAAATTCAAAGAGCCAACGAACACTTTAAGAGGTGTCTGTCTTCGTTTGTCGTTAGGGCTATGCAGACGGCAACCACCATGAGACAGTGTCACAGACCAGCGAGCGTGCAGACGACAGGCGGCGGCAGCAGCAGCGGGGGCGGTGGGAGGCGTGGGGGAGCACGTGGGGGAGCAGGTGGGGGAGCGGTGGGAGGCGTGGGGGAGCACGTGGGGGAGCGGTGGGAGGCATGGGGGAGCACGTGGGGGGCGGTGGGGGGCATGGGCGAGCGTGTTTCCGCTCGCGGCCACGGGGCTCGGGGTCGGTGCGGTCCTGGCAGGTTCCTCGGCAGCACCCGTTAAAGTGAGCCCGTGCACACCCCGTGATCGGTGATTCTGCTGTGAGGACTGTTCCCCGAACACGTGTGTTTAGTAAAGACACGCACGGGAATGTTCCTGGTAGCGTTACTTTTAATAGCCAACGCCTAAAACAACGCAAACGTTCATCGACAGTAAAATGTGTGAACGGAACATGGTATTATTTCCATAAAGGGTCTGGCACGAATAACACTCCTTTTTTTTAATTAGAAAAGCTTTTATCACAAAATTGTAAGCGTGTCCTTCTGTAGCATAACAATATCACACTCAAGCGCACCATCTGGCATTATTTTAGGTGAAATGTTCGCATTAAAACTGTGAATTTTTACACCCATTTTACCACCCTAGCAACGACGCTCAGGCGAACATCGCTTCTGCGGGGCCTGTGTGGCCGCCCAAGCGGAAATACATCGCTCCGACGTGCACCGGATGGGAAAGCTTGGCATAAATTGCTTTGAACACAGTGAGCGAAAGACAAAGTTTGAACGCAACGAACAAGAAAAGGCCCTGGCTGGCGTAGCTCAGTGGATGGAGCGCGGGCTTCGAACCAAAGCATCGCAGGTTCGATTCCCAGGCAGGGCACATGCCTGGGTTGCAGGCCACAATGAACAAGAAAATGGGCGAATGTGATTCCGTTTGCGTGGAATTTGGAAGTGTGATGTTGAGGGCACTTGGCCTTTCTCCGTTCGGGGAGGAAGCGTGGGGCCGGGACCCGGAGGAGGAGCGCGGGGGTCATCTCCCGACACCGATGGGGCTCACCCTTCACCCCGTGGAGCGCGCTGGTGGCAGCCCATGGAGCAGCAGCGTCGGGCTGGTCCTCTTCCGCGCGTGTCGCGACTCTGCGGACGGTTTCCGAGTCTTCTGCCCCCCGCCGCACCGCGGGTCCCTCCGGCCCTGCGTCCCCACGCACCGCCGTCCCCCGTGCCGTCTCGGTCCTCCGTTTCCAAGTTCTCTCTCCTCCTCTCTGCGCGCGCGTGCGCGCGGAGCAGCTGCGTTCCCCTGGTGGCCGCCCTCCCGGTTTTGCGTCCGGGCCCCTCCTTCTCTCCGCTAAAGACGAAGAAATCTCCGGCGAAGTCCCGTCTCTGACCCCAGGAGCCGCCCGTTGCCTGGAGACGAAATCCCTCCGCCCCTCCCTCCCCGGGCGGCCTGGGCGGGGGACGCCACCCTGTGCGCTGCGGTCGCCTGTGGGCGGTGGCACTCAGAAGGGCACGGGGGTCCTCTTTTTACTTAGTGAGGCTGATGACGGAGTTGTGTAAGTCGTTCGTTGCGTAAGTGCGTTAGACGTTCTCTGGAGAGCGATGAGGAGAGCGGAGGGCAAGTGGCCCGTGTGTTGCCACGTGGGGTTTGTGATCCTGATTCCCGGGAACCCCGGTCCTCTGGATGGACATGGAAGGAAGCACCGGCCCCCGTTCAAATCCCCCGTTACCAGAAACAGTGACTTCAGTTCGTTAAAACTGGACTTTCCCATGCCTACCTGTGTTGGGCATGTAGCGAGGAAATTCCAGCATCTAGCAGGAAAATTCTGGTTTCGAAGGTTTAATCTTATCTCTGTCATTTATTTGATCTGTGAACTTAAAAATTTACTTTCTTCCCTAAACCGTATTTTAGAGAATGAAGCGTGGGGCACCTCAGGGCCTGTCTCCTACGAGTGTCTCGAGGAGGGAGTGCGGCCCGGGAGCCGGGTCGGGGGCGCTCTGGGATCCGGTCAGCTGGTGTCCTCCTGGTCGTCCAGTGGTGACGGAGCTCCGAGGGAGCGCCGTGACTCCGCACAGCCTGGGAGGGAGAGACATGCCCCCCCCCTCCACAGGTGTTAAGTGAGGGTGGAGGGTGCCCATCCCTTAGTCCTGAGCTTCAGACCGCATCCGACAGCAGACTGCGGTCATGACATCCTGACGGTGAATTACCATGCCCGGCACTCCAGGCAGAGTGTGGTCAAGACACTGAAACTAGGAGCGTAGACTCCCCTGGCTTCGTCCTTCTAGTTTCCTGCTTCTTCGTAGAGTCACACGGCAGTTATTTCAGAACCTCAGGTAGGCTCCACACTTGGTGTGGTTACGGGGACCGTAGCGGGGCTGTGGGACCCTGCGCAGAGCGGCGAGACCTGGGAAGGGGTGGATGGTGCGGCAGTGAGCGAGGGAGCCCAGGCGGCCGCAGCCACACGCTCGGTGGGCGAGAGAGGGGGCAGGGTTCGTGGTCACCCGTGAGGAAGGTGACGGGGGACTGCTGAAAAGTCACATCTGGTGACGGGAGACTAAGGACACACGTGCTTCAGCTGTGCCACTCGCCAGGGCTTTGTGTGTGTCTGAGTCCCCTGTCGCTGGTGACAAGTCAGCACGCACCAGCAGCCGACCGCACGAGGCGCGTGCCGTCAGCGGCGGGTCGGACGTCTGGGTGCCACGCGACTGGGTCTGCAGTCGCGGTCTCTCGAGGTGGACATAAGGCTGGTGGCAGGCTGCGTCCTCGGCTGGGGTGACTCAGTCCAGTGTCTCCCAGATTTGGGGCGGAACTGGTTTCCTGGGTGCTGCAGAGTGCATTTGCCTCTTCAGAGCCAGCCCAGCAGGGGGAGGGCGGGCGGACGCTGCTGGGCCTCGACGGCCAGATGAGGCCCACCAGGACGACCTCCCGTGCCACCGAGTGAGATCCAACCCATCAGGGGCCGTGGTGGCGTCCACAGGGTCCCTCCGCTCGGTCTTTGGTGAGAGGCTGGGGGGCAGTCGCCTCCGTGACGCGGATCGGAGAAGGAGCTCCTGCCCGGGGGCCGCTGCGCAAACGGCTGCTCAGGGGCCCGGACACTTGGGGGAAAACCCTTTCTCCCCGAGTCCCGTTTTCCGCCCTCTCTGTGAGACCGGGGTCAGAGGCGCTACGCCCCTCCGTGCGTGATGCTTGTGCAGGGACAAGGTTGATGTTTTAATCTTTCAAGCCACTGCTTCGTTTCTACAGCATCCTCGATGTTTCTGTTGGAGAGGCTTTCTCTTCCTGGGAGAGACGACGACGCAACGGTGCCTTGGCAGAGCGGGAGGCGCGCAGCCGCGGTGGGGGGGCGGGGAGCGAGCGTCGGGAACCAGCCCGGGACTCCCCTCGCCCACGTGCCGCCAGCCGGAAGGCCCCGGGTGAGTGCTTAGCGGACGCCGCCCGTCCGTGGGATCGGTAGTGAGTGAACTCCGGGCTCTGCCGTGATGCGGAGCCTCGCCGCATGGCGTGTATTTTTGCTGCTAAGTGACTGCACGTGCTCCAGGACGCAGGCGGCCAAACTCCTAAGGCTGGCTCGTTACCTGGGTGTTCGGTCTTGTCTGTGGTATTCTTCCTCAAAATACTGTGTACGGCATGGTTACCGCAGCATCACCAGGTGTTAGTGCGGGTGAAGATTAGAACGTATTCAAGAGTGTATTTCAGAGTGTCCTGTGGCGCACGTGGCAGCGAAAACAGACCTTCGATGCGTGGCACTGTGGGGACTGGCGGGTTCTGAGGGGACTGTAAGGTGGCCGGTTCCAGTCCCGGGAGGAGGTGGGGGTGGGCCCGGGGGTGGAGCGGTGCCGCGGTGTCCTCAGTCACCGGGGCAGCGGGCCTGCCCTGCTGACAGACGGGGGGCGGCGGCCGAGGAAGGCCGGGGGTGCACCGGCATGCAGATCCCCGGTCCAGGCTCCAAGGAGCCCTGGTTCCCGTGGGTGTCGTCGGCCTTGAACCATCAGGCGTCGCCCTGTTTCTTGGGATCGGAGTGGAGTGGATGCAGGGGGTGCGGAAGTTCAAGGTGGCGGGCGGAGCCGGACAGCAGGGTACAGGGGATCAAAGACAGAGACGAGGGTCATTTTTCCCCGTGGGCAGAGGGTGACAATACAGGAAAGAGTAGAGAGAAGAGGGGGCGACAGTTCCCTTCAACCCCCCAAATCTGGTTCCTTAAGGGTTACATTTGATAACAGGATGTTTTGAATTGGGTTTGAGCTTTGCTGTTGGGCGCACGGTTCTGCTGAGGCAACTCTGACAAAGCAGAAGAAAATGATGCTCTTTAAATAAAGCCCGCCTCCAACATAACGAGCTCCTTCTGAGCACAGCAGCCTTGACCGCCCACAGCGACTGGCACGCAGGTCGTGGTGGTTGAAATGTTTGTTGGCTAAGTCACGAGAAGAATGCCACGCACGGCCAGTTACTGGCCGTATATAAAGCTCCCGGGCAGGCAGAAGGCACACACCTCAGACGCATCTTCCTGCAGCCCAGCTGAACTCTCTTCCCCGGACAACATGTGCGGCAGTTACTACGGCAACCTTTGTGGCTACGGCTGTGGGCTCGGCCCCTACTATGGCTGGGGGTGTGGAACCGGCTACGGCTGTGGGCTCGGCCCCTACTCTGGCTGGGGTTACAGAACCGGCTACGGCTGTGGGCTCGGCCCCTACTCTGGCTGGGGGTGTGGAACCGGCTACGGCTGTGGCTCTGGCTACTGGGGCTACCGGCCGCTGTGCTACAGAAGATGTTACTCTTCTTGCTGCTAGAGCATCACGGCCTGAGCCTCCTTTGCCTCTGAAACGACCCGTCTGAAGACGACGCCGGCTGAACACCGGTCCCTCCAGATTTCTGTAGCTAAGGAGTCGCGTGCTTGGTGGAGGTCTTGACCGCCAACCACCCATTTCCCAGGAGGGCGTCTGCGCGCCCCCCGGCTCTGTGATACCATCTGACTCTTTTCCAAATGTGACCCTTGACCTCCCAAATTTCTGATCCTCTGTTACTATGGTGTTGATGATACTAAGATCCTCCAACTGGGCAAATCTCCATTTCAATAAACTTTTTCTTTTTTTGTTCTAAGGAATCTCTGTGTGCTTGCTTGTAAATTCCTCCTTTCTGAAAAGTGATGGACTCTCTTGAAACTTGGGCTAAAATATGTTACTTCAGTTTTGGGTCCTTCTTTGATATAATACAAGCATTTTTCCTCGTACCTGAATCATAACTACTATCTTAATCACAAATACAGTTGCGTAAATGCTACACTTCTCCACCGGCTACTCACGCCTCACACTCTCAGGCGCGGACACGCACGAGCACAGACCACACGGTTTTGGGACTGTGCCCGGCAACCTCGGGACTGTGTCTGGAACGGGTCTGGGAGGGAAGGAAAAAGCCAAACGATGCTCACCCTGGAGGCGCGATGCACAGCAGTCCTGGGGAGCAGGGGCGTGGCTGAGCACGCGCAGGGGGGGTGACCCGGGAGCGGAACGGGCCCGGACGTGGAGTCAGGCAGTTCCCTTAGAGGGAGGACAACACTCAAGGCGGAGGCGTCGAAGGAAGGAAGCACCCGAACTGGCGGCTTATTGCTGGTGTGGGGTGTCTGCTGGGGAAGTGGCAGGGAACAGCCACACCCAGAGAGGTGTGGGGAAGAAGTCCTCAGGTTTCCTGCAGCTGCTCTGCCCAGTAAGACAGGCACGAGCGCGGTGTTGCTCGTTTAAAATAAGACCCACTCCAGATCTTAAAGACTTAGAGAAAAAAGAGTGACAACTATATTGACTGATTTAAAATTATTGATTACATATAAATGATAATTTTTCTAAAAAATTTTAAAAGATTTTATTTATTTATTTTAGACAGAGGGGAAAGGAGGGAGAAAGAGGGAGAGAAACATCAGTGTGTGGTTGCCTCTCGTGGGGCCCCTACTGGGGACCTGGCCTGCAACCCAGGCCTGTGCCCTGACCGGGAATTGAACAGGTAACTCTTTGGTTCACAGACCAGCGCTCAGCCCACTGAGCCGCATCAGCCAGGGCTAAATGATAATGTTTTGCATGTATAGGTTCAATAAAATATGCCATCATATGCATTCACTTTCTGTCTTTTTTCAAATGTGGCCAGCGGGCCATTTAAACTTCTCTCTGGGTCTCCTGGCCCATTTCTGCTGCACGGTCTGGCTCCAGAAGGTCCCGGCCAGTGGGCCGGGAGCAGGCTCGGGCTGGGAGGAAAGCAAAGGCTGGTGGTGGCGCCCTGTCACCGGAGCCCAGCCCAGCGAGGAGGTCGCCCTGAGGCCGGAGGCGGTGGCAGCCAGGGCTGACGGCCTCGGGATGGTGGCCAAACGAAGCTTTCTCCTGAGTCGGTTCCGAGAAGGGGGTCGGTTGATCTGCTGTCTGCCCAGACGCCTTGTCAGTTCTCCTCCCCCGAACCTCCGTGTGTTCTAATGGTAACTGGAAAAACGATGCTCCGTGGAGATTGCTGGGAGTTGTAAATGAATAAAATAGGCGAAGTTCCACCACTGGGACAACTCACAGATTTTCGTTATGATGTTTACTATTAGATTGTTCGATATGAAAATGCTGACATTTAGGCACATTTAAACATACAAAAAAGACAATTTTACACGTCCCATGTTGTGTTTATGAATGTCGACACTATATGGGACAGCTCCCCGGACTTCAAGCAGCGCTGTCCGTGTTCTCACGTCACACACGCAGGCGCACGCCCGTGCTGGGCGCTGAGCCACTCGCACGAGTTCGCGCGTGCCCCCTGGCTACAGACCCTGACACGTGCCGTGACTCCGGGGAAGTCGACACGCTCGTCGGTGTGTGTGTGTGGGGACAAATTCCTGGGCTTCAGGGACTCGCTTATCCCCTGGTGACGTGGTCCTGCCTTTTCCTGCATCGTCAAATTGTGTTAGTTGCTCGAAAAGCTGCCGGTGGCCTCGGCAGCAGGTGTGAGAAATCGGAGGCACCCAGACTCCCTGGGGGGACGTGGGACCCTGGAGGCCGGTTGCAGTGATCGGGGTGAGTGGGTGGGAAACTCGGACCCTCAGGCGGCCTGTGGGGGAGGGGGAGGGGGAGGGGGAGGCAGGGCGGGTGGAAACGGGCTCCACCCCCCCAGAGAGCCCCCGAAACTCGGAGCTCGTCCCTGAGCTCCAGACTCGCGCTCCCTGCCCAGCGGCCTGTGCCCAGGCGTAGCGCCCGCACGAGGCGGGCCCTCAGGGGCTCTCGTGCAGCCAACACGCCCGTGCGGCCGCCGTCTGGAAGAAGGACCCGCAGAGGCACGGGCACGCATGGCCGGGACAGAGCCGTGTGGGGGGCGGGCAGGCGGCGTCGACGTGGGGGTCCTGGGGTGTCAGGCGTGGAGCCGGCGCGGAGCGTGTTGTAGTGGCCAGGAGGGCGCGGGGGGACCGGCCACGGGTCCGAGGCCGCCCGGAGTCTGGGGCTTTGAGTTTGACGCGGCGGCTGCCGATCTGCGGCGCCGCTGTCCTGCCGTGACCAGCGCTGCAGGTGTCCGGGAAAGCTGCCATCACGGTTTCCACCGAATGCCGCGGTTTCCGGAGTTAGCGTGCGGAGCGTCGAGATGTTACTCTCCTGGCTGGAGAATGTGTCCCTCCCCCGGGCGGCCCCTGGGGACAGTTACGGCGCAGGCCCGGGAGCGCCCGCGTCATCTGCTGGGGGCTCACGCCAGGCTGCGGCTCGGAGGGCGCGGTCACCGGGAGAGGGAGGCCGCGTGGCAGCCGCCTAGCAGCGCGCGAGGCTGGGGTCCCAAACCTTCGTGGTGTCAGCCGGGTGGAGCGGGGGACATTCTGTGCTAGAACAACTGAAGGAGGAAGAGTAACGCGTGGTCCTCTGCCCTCGCTGGTCCGCGAGAGCGGGGCCGAGTCAGTCCAGCCCTCGCCCTGCACGGCTGCGCGGCCGCGGGCGAGACCCGTCCCCGGCTCTGAGCCCACACCGCAGCCGCGCAGGCGCGGACGCGAGGGGCGGTTTCTGGGTCGGCGTTGCTCTCGTGAGACCCGAACGAGCCGATAGACGCGAGGGGGCCTCAAAAGCTCCAGAGGGAAATATTAATAATAACAACAACAACAACAACAACTTTTCTTGTATTACATCCTCTGCAGTAAAATAACGATGGTGTTTACTGGCAGAGGAAATGCGTGGGCTGTCATCCGACGGGGAGGCCGGTTCTTCAGATTCACAGAAGAGAGACGGCAGCGCCGACCCTCGGTAGCTCGCCGGGGACCGAGGGGCGCAGGCCCTGAAGGTCGGAACGCACTCGGCAGGGCAGGACGGCTGGCCAGGGGCGCCGCCGCGGGAGCAGGGAGGGGCGCAGGAGGCGTGGGGGGGGGCACGCACCAGGCCTCACTGGGAGTGTCCTCTGTGAGCTGCACGGCCTGCGCTGCGCTGGGCTCTGCAGGGTCGGCGGGTTTGCACAGACGCGGTGTGATGGCGCAGGGGCGTGCATGTTCCCAAGGCGGCGGCGTGGGCGACAGCACCCAGAGGCTTTAGGCGGCGTGGGTTCTGCTGCCCCGAGCGAAGCCGTGGCGGCTTTTTGGGTGAGTGGCAGCAGACGCCCGTTTCGCACCGGTTCAGCTCTTCCTCGCCCGGCCTCTCTCTGGCCCGGCCGCCTGGGCCACGGCCCGCCCACCGCAGCGCGGGTGAGACCTGAGGACACCTCGCCTCACGCCCTGCTGCTGCGTCCCCCGTCGATGCTGTGGTGTGAGCGGCTGGAGCAGCACCGCCCGGCGCCCACTCCCGGGTCCCTGCGGGGGCAGGAGGGCCACTGGCCCCTGCACCCTGCGGTGAGCATCTCCATCGGGTGCCATGGCATTCCAGAGACATGCTCGTTCAATGCGTGGGTCGTTTAGCTCTGTGCTGTCACGGCCCTCGTGACTAGCTGGGGCCGAAGCCGGAACAAAATTGTCCTGAGAGTGACGGGCCTTTTAAAAATGAAAATTGCCGGGGTAATGAGGCCACGGAGTCTGGGCTGGGTGCCCCGCCCATTTCTGCCAGCATATAAAGGCCCCGGGGTCAGGGGACCTCAGACCTCAGACCTGCACCGGCCCCGTCCCGAACTGCGGAACCTCCACTACTAGGCACCATGTGTTGCAAGTACTACAGAAACTCTTGTGGCGGCTGCGGCTACGGCTGCGGCTACGGCTGTGGTTACGGCTCTGGCTACGGCTGTGGTTACGGCTCTGGCTACGGCTGTGGCTACGGCTCTGGCTACGGCTGTGGCTACGGCTCTGGCTACGGCTGTGGTTACGGCTCTGGCTACGGCTGTGGCTACGGCTCTGGCTACGGCTGTGGTTACGGCAGCTGGCTACGGCTGCTGTGGATACCGGCCATTTGTCTACAGGAAGTGTTATTCTTCTTGCTGCTAGACCGTAACTGCCATGCACCTCCTCCTCTAGAACGATCACTCCGAGGCGTCTCTGTCTCCGTCTCTCTCGACGACATCCGACCGCACAGAGCGGAGAGCAGAGACTCAGAAAACGGGTCGTCTTCGTGCAAGTCCGCACTGCTACTGGGGGGCCTGAGTCGGTCCCGACGTTCCCGGGCAGAAGACCTCATTCTGGTCACAGTTCAAGTGTAAACCCACTACCTTCTCCTTCTGTGCTATTTCCAAATAAACATGTTTCATTGGCTTGACATGCTCGTGGATCTTTTGTGCCAGACACGCTGCTGGCTGACACTTCAGGGATCACCGAAAATCGTTCGGGAATGCACGTGAGCTCTGCCGCCCGATGGAGACGGTGGGGGTGCGGGGCCCAGGAGAGCGCAGACCCGGAGACGCTTGTGCGCCCACATCTGGGCAGGGCGGGGGGCCGGGGCGGGGCAGCCCCCGGGGGGTGTTTTGGTTTCAGAAACCTGGTCTTCGTGCGGGGCGTGAAAAGTCTCCAGAAACTGGAGTCAAAGTTTAACCACCCAGGTTAAACACATGTCGTGTTCCCAGGATCCCAGGAATCCTGAAGGAAACTGCCGTCTCGAGCAGAGGAAGGGCAGAGGAGGATGGGCAGACTGATTGCTGCTCTCGCAGAAATGGCAGCACCTCTTAGGAGCTGGCGAAGGGGGAGTCGCTGACTGAGCTTCCGGCAGAGGACGGTCCCGTCCACGCTGCGGACAGAGGGCGGAGGATGTCATGGCCGCCGCTCTCGGGAGTGCGGGAAGGGCCCAAAGCCCGCACGTTACGAACATGGGAGTGTTGACAGAATCGCACACGGGCGTCTGGGGCACATGGGCGTCTGGGGCACACGGGCGTTTGGGAAACGCGGGGGAGAAGTGAGGGGACAGGCCCGGACCAACAGGTAGACAGAAGGGTCAGGAGTCTTTCTGGAAAGGAGATGGACGTCCGGCCCGAATGTGGAGGGGGATGGGAGCTGGTCGTCCGAGAGGAGAAGACGCCTTCCGAACAGGGGGGCGAGGGGACCCCGTCCCGGACAGTGTCTGCGTGCCGGGACCTTCCCCCAACGGCCGCCCTCCGTCTGGAGGGAACGTCGTCACTAGCTGGGCTCCAGGAGCAAACCCACAGGCGTGGATGCTGAGAGCACACACGACCCTCCCCGCCCCAGAAAGCCACCCCGCTGCGACCCCCGCCCCTTCCTGGTGGGAAGGGCCCATGGCTTCTCCCAACCTTGGCAAAGAGGATGGGACATCGCCCTGTGTTTGTGTTTAGGGTTGACAGATAAAACACACGAAGGATACATTGAATTTCAGATACAAAGAGATATTTTTGGTACAGTTGTGCCTGCTGCGGTGTCAGGGGCCGACCTGCAGACAGGGCAGCCCAGGTCGAAGTTCACACCGAAGCCGTTTCCTCATGTCCCGCGGACGCCGTGGGTGTGATGGCGTGAGGTTCGGGGCGGGGGCCCCGGTCAGGCTGGGCTGAGACCCCGGGTCCCCTGGGGCTGTGGGGTGGTCACAGGCCGCTGCTCTGAGCCGCTCCTGCTGTGGTCGCCTACACCAGCTGCCTCCTGTCCTCCGCGGCCTCTGGTGAGAGGTGTCCTCTCGGAGGACCTGGGTGTCCCGCGTGCCCGTCCGATGCAGGGAGGAGGGGGCCAGTCCCGGGGGTGGCCCCAAAGGCAGACGGCCCTGGGTGACGGGGGAAGGGTGACAGGTGCCATCAGCCCTTCCTGACGGACCTGGCTGGTCAGCAACACGCCGAAGTGAGTTTCATCTCGGACCCACAACCACGCCAGGAGTGACGGGAGACTCCGCCGCACACGGGGACTCGGACCCGGTGATCTCCCGGGGGACGGGGTCCCCACAGGGAACAGCAAGCTCCCGGCCTCGGCAGGTGCTCAGCCCCCGGGGGTCAGAAGGGGGGCTCCAGGCCGCATCGCACAGAGGGGCCGACGCTGGACCTGGGCCGCGTGTCCGCTGGGAGACTTTTGGGGAGTTTCCTAACCTTTTTGTGACCTCGCTTCCACATCGTAAGATGCCCACTGCTTTTATGACTTCCTTGTGTTCAAATAGACTAAAGTCTCTGAAATCTGTGATTTGAAAAATATTCAACAGTGTTGTTCTAGTAAACGTTATTTTTGTGTTGTTTTGGCGTTAAGTAAACCATCACCTGGAACCGCAGAAGCCCCTGAGGGTGGCCGGGGGCAGGAACCCGCCAGCCGCTGCGACCTGCCCGGGGGGTTCGGGTTCGCGGGACGCCCCTGACGAGGGGGGCTGAGAGGTCTCTGCGAGGAGCGGCACTGTGTCCCGGGAGAGGAAACTGCGCAGTGATTTCCGTGGAGTCGGCCGGCGAGGCCTTGGCCCGGCTCGCTGGGACAATTTCGTGCCAAACACGAACTTCCCTCCCCTCCGCAGGGCCTGGTCACGTGACGCAGGGCTCGGGAGTCACGGGCTCAGATAGCTGGGTAGTGGAAGGGAACTCACCTCGTAGACGTGTGCCCGGCTCCAGACCGTGCCCCGGTGACGAAACACAAACCCGGTTCTCCGGGAAACGCCGGGGACTCTCCGAGAGAGGTGGGTCACCTGAGGCGGATGCTGTTTATGGACACGCCAAGCCCTGTCACCGTCAGCCGACAGGCGCGACTGGCATGCACCGGGCAGCGGACGGACAAGCATCTGTGGCCTGAGTCACCAGACGGACAGTGTTCCCTGGCCCTCGGGGCCGTGTGTACAGCTGCAGGGTCAGAGGGGACAGTCGACTGCAGAAGCACTGTCTGTAGCCACACCGAACCTCACCCTCTGCCGACATGTGTTGCAACGACTACGGGAACTCCTGCGGCTGCGGCTGCGGCTGCGGCTGCGGCTGTGGCTCCGGCTGTGGCTGCTGTACCTTCCGACCGTTTTGCTACCGAAGATGCTGCTCCTTTTGCTGGTAGGACGTCACCTTCCAGCATCCTGTGCCTCCAACAAAATATTTAAAAATTAACACTTTTCCTCCAAAGGGTGCCCCACCTCATCACCCGTACAACCGTGCAAGGATCGGATTCCACCTGTATGGACCTCGGAGAACCTGTTTGTCTTTGGGGACCGTGACTGCTTCTGTTGTGTGACCCAAGGACAGCAGCTCTGGTTCTGATTGTGTTCAAAACGTGAACTGTCGGCCGTTCCACTCTCCGGTTGTGTGTTGTCCGTGGGCACGAGTTACTTACTCCGTAGCTGGGAAAGTCGTCTTTTCAATAAACAAATGTCCTCTGGTCCCGCACGTGTCTGTGTTTTGGGGCTGGCACCACCGTGATGTCGGTACTTGGGGCCTCTCTGTGGAGCCGGGGGACCCTGTGGTTGCCGCGCCCCAGGCCGGTTCACCCCTCCCCCTGCTCCTGCGTCCCCTCCCCCCACCAGCGCATTGAAGACATTCACTGATGTATCCAGCCATTTCTCCCCGTGTTTGCAACTTGTTTTGTTTTGCTTTGCTTCTTTATCACGTCTCGTATCCACCGCGGACACAGATTCCAACCCTTTCCACATGCGGACCGACTGGCGGGAGGGAGAAGCGTGTCTGGTTCCGAGGGCATCGGACGAGTCGGGGGTCTGTCGCGTGCCCTGGGCTCAGATGTTTGTGGGTGCCGCTCAGAGAGGGAGGGAGCACAGCGGAGAAGATGTGGTGGGGTCTCAGAAGCGTGGCCTCGGGGGCATTTCGCGTCAAGGGTGCTGCCCCGTCACCCCACACACACTTTCACGATCGTCTCCTAGCAGGCAGACTGAAGTCGGCGTTCTGGGAGTTCCAGGGTCCGGGTTCTAGGGGGACGGACCCGGAGTCACAGCGAGTTAATCTTTCCAGTGGGTGGCAGTTTCATGCGCGTGACAGCCAAACACGGACTTGGGTGCCCGAAGAAGGGGTCGTCCATCTGCGGGGGCGTCTGAGCAGGGGTGACAGTCCTGCGTGCTCCGGGTGTCACGGAGAAATCAACACTCGCAGGAGACGGAGCTGTCGGACCTTCAGTGCTTACTCTCATTGTAAAAAGTTGGTCTTAAAATGTGAACCGTGGCTGCGAGGCGTCGTAGTGTGAGGGTCACTGAACACTGGGGCCGTGGTCTCAGAAACAGCAGGAGAGCGGGGAAAGGAGCAACTTTTCATAGGTCTGGGCGGTGGCCAGAGGTGACGCGTGTGTTCTGACCCTCCTGTCCTGTGGAAGAGACGGGGCGCGGGGAGTGAGGTGGGGGGACAGCACCTGTGCTCCCAGGCAAGGCCGCGGCGCTGGCAGAGCGGGGCCCTGGTTCTCACGAGGCTCAGCTGCCTGGAGACTCACGGGGCGGTGGGGCGGGGGGCAGCGGGGAGGGGCAGGGTGGGGAGGGGCAGGCGGCGCTCAGAGGGGGACGTGCCCGCGAGCCAGGACCCCAGGTCGTCGGGGATCCCTCCCTGGGGGGGCTCGGACAGAGCGGGCACCGAGACTGCTCGCAGGGGTACCCCACGACAGAGTGCAGTCACTTAAAACCAGACGTGGGAGGCCCCCCGCTGAAAGTGTTGGAAGAAAGGCCTGTCTTCGGGGACATGCTGTAGAGCGTATGTCAGACCGAGGGGGTTTGGGGATGTGATGTGGGTTCGGAGGCCCCCCCCCCAACCCCCCCCAGCCTCCGCCGCCGGGAGACGAGTTCAGAGCCCCGGTTCTGCGGCCCCCCGAGTGAGGGCCCCCCGAGTGACCGCCAGGCCCGCATGCGGACCCCGAGCGTGGCGCTGTCTCTTCGCGGCTCAGGCGCCGGGAAGGCGGAGGGGAGTGGGGCTGACCTCTGTCTCCCACGGAATCGACATCGGAGGGGTAGGGGGTGCGGAGGGGAGAAGCGTCTTCCTGTCAGCGCGGTTCTCGGGCACCTTTGGGGCGCGCCCTTGGGGAGCCAGGGGCCGGGCGCCTCTCCTCCGAGACCCCCGACCCCAGGGCGCTCACCCTCCGAGCAGACGCCTTTCTTCTTCCCGTGGCGGCCTGTGGCGGGCCCAGGAGGCGGGCGCTCCCTCCCCAGCAGACGCACGGCCTGTGCGTGAGTTAGGCGCCTGTGGTCTCGACCTGTCCGTGACGGCCGGGCTGCAGAACGAGCCAGGAAGCCCAGGCCGGTGACGCGTCGCCCGATTCTCTGTTTTCACCACAACCCTGTCGTTAAGAACGCTTCAGGCAAAGAGCAGTGGGACAGTCACACGCACAGTAGTTCGTTTTCCAAGGAAGCTGGTCGCTTCCTCAGAGTCATTACGAAAGATGTTAATTAACACACACACGTGAAACCACAGCAACATCAAGCACTACACTTAAGTTTGTAGTATAATGAATGCGTCAGTAGCAGTCAACACAGGTATTCGAAGAGCTGTTTGTGCGGGAACACTGATGCTTGGACAGAGTAGAGAGAGAAGCATCGACTGAACCCGCCATCTAGGTGTGTGCCCTGACCGGGAATCGAACCGGTGACCCCTCAGAGCACAGAAGGACCCTCCGACCAAGTGATCCACGCGGCCGGGGCTGGTCTGCCTCCTCGCTGGGGACGGGCCCCCCCCAGACCCTCTGCACCCCCGTCCACGCAGCCGGGGCTGGTGGCTCGCTCACTGCCCGCGCCCCGGGGGGCTGGGGCGGCTCTTCCTCGCGCTGCACAGTTACCCTCTTATCGGAGTTTAATCATTTTTGTACTAAACTTCTCCTGTTCCCCTGACGGGACTGGACGGATGCAGGCGTCTTCGGTTTTACACCCGCGTGTGGCGGGAGGAGCTCGGGGGAGGGTGAGAGAGCCCCGGGCTAGAGGGAGCCGTGCAGAAGGGTCGCCCACGCCCGAGGCGCCCCGGGCGGGAGGCCGCTCACGAGGAGACGGTGGGGGGTGTGATCGCGGGTGGGAGGTAGGGACGGGGAACAGAGACCGCAGGCAGGCCACCTGTCACTGATCACTGGTGACACTGCGAGGTTTCGGGCCAAAGTCCTGTGACCTAAGTATCTTTCTGAGAGCATTGCTGGTTGGAGGAGGCGGGTGAGGAGAAAGTCCCTGCAGAGTCCGGTGGGGGAGGGGGGCTGGCCGTGTGCGGGGCGGGGGAGGGTGTGGGGACCACGTGGCAGAGACCGGGGACCGGAGACCGGAGACCGGGCCGAGGAAGCCCGCACACGGACACGCGTGCACGACCCGGGCTGCAGCACAGACCTCGTCAAAGCTGGGCGGTCCCTCCGCTCCGGGCTGCAGCCCCGGGGACGGCTTGTCCCCTTCAGATAACCAGTAGTGCGTTTGACATAACCGAGCCATCAGGGGCCGAACAAACAGTTTTGCTCCTGAGGCGGGAATGTCATAACCTGACTGGAAAGGGGGGGGAGGACAAACTGTCCTTCAGAGAGAGGGGGGCTCTTTCAGGGAGGGTGCACACCGCGTGGGAAGGCTCGATTCCCTGCCCTGAAACCGTGAAAAGTACTTTGAGAATGATTATGAAGAAAAGCCCCCAAATATCAGGGAAGGAGGAGAAAAGCCCAGGATGGGATGGATGATGATGACGATGGTGATGGTGACGATGACGGTGGTGACGATGGTGATGGTGACGATGACGGTGGTGACGATGAAGAGGATATTAATAGCAGAGAGCAGGAGTTTGTGTTTAACAGGAAGTTTCTAAGATGCTGCAAGAGCACAGTGGTAAACACTCATTTATAGGTCTGGTGGGTTTGGTGCTGTGTTATGTCACGGCCATTTAGTGCAATTACGGAAGACACAATTAGGGCCGCATGAGCCCGGGCGCTCGGAAACGTGTCTTCCTCGTGCCGTGCGGCCGGAGTGCGTGTTCCGGGTGACGCGTGGCATCCTGGCCGATCGCCGTGCGCAGCATGAGCTCACTGGAGGCCAGCGGTTGTAAAACGAGGGCACGGGGATCACACGCGGCCTGACACACCCGCCCGGGAGGTGTATATAAAGGTCCTGGGAGAGCAGGAGGCACTCAGACTTCAGGGTCACCCTCCTGCACCTCACCTGCACCCTCGCCTTCTGAAACCATGTGCGGCAACTACTACGGCGGCTGCGGCTACGGCTGCGGCTACGGCTCTGGCTGTAAATACGGCTGTGGCTACGGCTCTGGCTGTGGCTACGGCTGTGGCTACGGCTCCCGCTATGGCTGCGGCTATGGCTGCGGCTACGGCTCTGGCTGTGGCTACGGCTGTGGCTACGGCTCCCGCTATGGCTGCGGCTATGGCTGCGGCTACGGCTCTGGCTGTGGCTACGGCTGTGGCTACGGCTCCCGCTATGGCTGTGGGTATGGCTCTGGCTGCTGTGGCTACTAGCCATTTTTCTACAGAGTCCTCTTGCCACTAATCATCACTCCAGGTTCAAGTCCAACTCCAAGCGAAGCCCTCTGTCTATGGATTTCACACCAAAGTAAAGAATGAGTATGTCCGTCGGAAACCTGACTTCACTTCGAAGAAGCCCCCTGGCATCGGGGACCGTGTAGTCCTGCCACATCGCTGGAGACGGAGGATCTTATTCAGACCATTTTTTGAGTGTAAATCCTCATATTTTCTTCTGCCTCTGTCCCATGGCCTCTGTGCCAGCAGGGGGCTGAGCACTCGGGGCGTACAAAAATGAAGCAAAAATAGCAGTTTCCTAATAAAAGGCTTTCTTTCTGAACAAGTCTGGTTTCCTTTATGCTGGGGCCACCAGTGACTTCGGGGTCTGTGCCCTCCTTAGGGTAAGTCTGTGTGCTTCTGTTGGTTAAGCTCAAATATCAGTTCTTTTCCACTTATGAACCTGTGCATGTGTGCTCCCTTACGACACTAGAGCTAAGTGTACACACAAGGGTCACGCCCAGCACCGTGTGTCCTGTGTGGGTGAAGGGTCGGGACAGGGAGGTCCACGGGAAGGACCGGCGCGCTGGGCCGGGGCAGAGCGACTGGGCTGCGTCTCGTAATGAAGGGGCGACACCGTCAGCTGCGTCGTCCTTGGGAATGGGGACAAGAACTCGCAGAGCCAGCACACCGAGGGCGTGACAGCCGCCCGCGGGAATCGGCGAGGACCAGGGCCCCTCCTCCTGTTCCCACTTGGGCTGCGCGACTGTCACGCGCTCAGCGGCAAGGCGGACGCTGCATTGGCCAACCTCAGGCTGTTGCTTCCGGCAGGAAACGGAGAGAGAGCAGCGCCAGCCCCTTTAAGAAACTTGGGTCTTCTTACGGGGGATGGGCCATGCGCGGCATGAAGGACACCCGCCTGCCTCCCTGGCGCCGGCTGAGGGAGCTGGGTCAGCTGGCTCCTGTGCCCGAGCCCCATCGGCCTGGGGGGCCGGGGGAGAGGGGGAAGGGGGGGGACACAACCGCTTGGGCCGAGGGACGGCGTCCTCGCAGCACGCGGGGCCGGGCAGGGGCCCGTGAACTTTGTCCCCGGGCGCAGGTTGGCTTGAGCTCCCTGTTCCTGTCTGTGTCCCACGCGCCCCCCTACCCCCGGGGTTCTCTTCCGTGTTTTTTTTCTTCTTGTTCCGCATTTTAACTTTCGCTTTGGCCAGCGTTTCTTCTGGGTTCTCCTGCCCGTCAGCCGCGGCCGTCGCGTGACCTGGGTTGTTGCCTACGCGCCCGTCCCGCCCCATTCCGCAGGCGTTCCGAGGGGCCGTCGTGGGCTGTGTGTTTTCACTGTGTGTACACGGGGAGGTGGTGTCATTCTGCATCTGTCCAGAAGATTGCTTCCCTCGGAAGGACTTGTGTGGACGGGTCCATCCCGTCCATCCACCCTGCTCTGTGCACCTTCGGCCCGTCGTCCCTGCTGCCGCCTGGCGCTCCGCGGGGACCGCAGCCAGACCGCCGTGTGCCCCCCGTCCACGCGACTCTCCCTCGACCACCCCGTGGCTGCCGTGGGCACGAGTTCTCGTGTGGGCTTCTGTGAGAATCGACCCAGGCTCTGAATCCCTAGAACCAACGGCGTGTGCATGCTCAGCGTGGCTGAACACAGCCCGTGTCCTCTCCGGATGCCCGCGCCGACCCGTGCGCTGGGACTGCAGGTCTGCCGTCCTCACACGCGGGCCCGGCTTGGCGTCCCCTGACCCTCTCGTGTCCGCGTGTCTGGTGGGTGAAGAGTGATGCCGTCTTGCTTTGATGCCCGCTTCTTCGATCCCTAGTACATTTAAATGATTATTTGGTCAGCTGTGTCCTAAACTCTGTTTCTCTCGCATGTCCTCACTCCACTTTTCCGCTGCGGCTTCTGTCTCCTCCTCATCGGCTTCGGGGCTTCCCTGCGTGTTCTTGGTGTCACTGCTGTGCCTTCCGTAGGCGTTGCCGGTGCCATCTTCCTCACGGTCATCCTCACGGTTATCTGTTTATTGCTTCCTCGTGTGCTTAACAGAACAAACGATTTTAACCCTATTTTAACTTTTGGTTAGGGACATGCACCCTACTTTTACGTCCCAGCCACCCTGCACGTTCTTCAGTCAACTGTGACGTTTGCATGTGCATTCAGGTCATCAGTCCGCACGGAGCCCGTGCTCCTTTGCGGTGGCCCGGCTCCACCCTCCCCCCGCCCCACCCCCCAGCCGGTCTCTCCGGCAGCGCCTGTCGGCGGCTCCTCCTCCGCCAGCAGTCGATGGCGCGTATTCACCGAGCTTTTATCTCTTCACGTGTGTGAGTCTGCCCCCGAGTGCTCCGCCGTGTTCTCGCTACACCCGGCCTCTGCCGTGCCTCACAAGAAGGGAACCAGGCTTGTGCCACTCGGCGTTCCCGCTGAGGAGAACAAGGGCCAGTGTGCAGAGTCCACAGACAGGGAGGGTCCAGGCGAGGAGGGCTCCTCCAGGGGGCGGGGGAGGGTGGAGGTGGGGCGGGCCGAGCCGGCGGTGCCCCTGGGCTGCGGTGGGCCGGGAGGGCGGACCTCGACCTCTCGACCTGCAGGAAACGTGCGAGTAAAGCAGGGCACCCAGGACAGGGGTCCGGTCCATCGACCCACACCCTTCGCTTGTGCTTCGATGGCCCCTGGCCCTGTACGTTCTCAGGGGCCTCCAACCCCATGCGGCCCGGATGGCTGTGAAGGTGCCCACCGCAAAATCGTAACTTTACTTAGAACATTGAGCTTCTTAGTTTTTGTTAGTGTTTGTGTATTTACTGGGTGGCCCAAGGCACCTCTTCCTCCAGTGTGGCCCAGAGACGCCGCGAGGTCGGGCGCCCCTGAAGGGTGATTTAATGTGACCTCCAGGCCACCGGGGCAAGGAAGGTGTGGGCTGGGAAGCCGTAAAAACAACACCCGGTTCTGCAGAGGAAGGAGAGCAGTGTGCGTTGGAGGGGCGCGTCGAGGCACCCCACCTGCGGCTGGAGCCCGTGTTTCTGGGTTTCTGGGGGTCAGCGCGAGCCCTGAGCCGGGGACAGGGCCCAGACCCAGGGAATCATCCTGTGCCGAGGGGCCCACAGGCGTGGCCGGGGCTCCAAGTGGCAGTGACCAGTCTGGTCCAGCTCCTGCAGGGACCCTGGGGTGTCCCCACAATGAGCTATGACGGGCACTCCTCCCTCGGTCCCTGGAGAAGAGACGTGTCGTGGCCACGGCTGCCTGAGGACGATGGGCTTCGGGCAGGAGTGCGATCGCGTGATCGCGCTGGAGGGTGGCGCGCGTGGCTGACGAGCAGCTTTGCCGTTTCGGCCTAGGAACAGAGCCACCCCTTAAAACGCAGCTTCCTCGCACGGGAACACGCGTAAACGTCTCGCCGATACCGTGGGGTGGCTCAGGTGTAATAAAAATTTCAAAGGCAATTTGCACAGCATGAGCCATTGCAAGGAACTCGTTGGGACAAAATCCCCTGCTCTCTGGGAGGCTGCGAGGAGAAAGCAGTAATCAGAGCTTGAAGAAATTAATTAATACATTCATTCATGCGACTCGCTAAGATGTATATCCTGTAATTAGAGATACTGTGGATGTTTTATAGTCGACACTTATATTCACTTAAATCTCCAGTTGCAAGATTTTAAGTGCTGAATCTATTTAAAAATAGTCATACTCTCAGACATAATCTGTTTTTCTATGATGCTAATCTTCTGGTGGTAACAAAGTTTGAAATAAGAATCTCAGCAGCTTTCCATGTTGAAAAAAAAAGAATGCTTTCATGTCAAAAGTTTTACAGCTACAAAATGTATGTTACCCATAATTACTGGAATAAGTATATGTTTTCGTGCCAAGGCTCAGGGAGTTGACAAAGTATTCCAAGTAACAAGTTGTTGTACAAAATGCTCCCATTGTATTATAGTTAGTTTACTATTAGGATAATTAATTTTGTCAGAATCTGGTTATATTCGCTGTCTTCATTAGCATTCAATTAGTAGAAACTGAATAAATCCATGGAACATGCATTATTATCACAGACACTAGTAATCGGTGTTTATTTAGCTTAAGAGTATTTCCTAGGTTGGTACAGTTTGTACTCGGGCAGCCGGGATTCTGGCCCAGGTCTCTCTGATTGCGAGATCTCCCACGCGGTGAAAATCCGCGAGTCCCCGGGAACGAGGGACGCAGGCTCGGGGTGGGACCGCAGCGCCCAGTGGCCCTCAGGGCTGGGTCCCGGACAGAGCGCGGGGGCAAAGCAGTCTGGGATCCACGGCGGCGAGGGGCAAAGGACGCTTCAGTGGCTGTATCTTAGGGGCAATAAAGAATTGGAAAGATTTTGCAGTGTCAAAAAATGCTACGAAACACTGCCATATATTTAGGTCTAATCTTGAATTAAACTTTTATGGGATGACAGGAAGTCCTGGCAACAGAACAAACAATTTACGAAGACCTCCGGGTTTCGGTCTCGGGGTGGCCGCAGAGAAGGGGCTGTCGGCAACGAGCAGAGAGGGGGCCCCAAGGGAGAAACGCCGCCTTCCTGAAATGTCGGCAACGCCGGCACGTGGCCAAGGCCGGCGGGTGAGGCTCGGAGAGCGAGGCAGGAATGCGCCCCTCGGGGAGTTGGGACGGCAGGAGAGGTGGCACGGGTAACCTGAGAGTTAAATTTGCTCCGAGAGACTCGAGGTGTGGCAAGGGTTTCAATCAACGTAAGTAGACGTGGGGACATAAGTATCCATTTTGTCATGGAGATTTGTCACTGGGGTGTATTTCAAGATGAATAGATTTCTGCTACGGAAGTGCAAATATTTTCTGAGGTCAATGTCATATGGCCAACAAGACTCAGATATTCTTTGTTTCATTTCATTTTTATTTTTTATTGTTGTGCAGTTACAGCTGTCCCCACTTTACCCCCATGGCTCTCCCTTGCCCCACCGCCCCCACCCCTCAGTCCCCGCCCCTGTTGTCTTGTCCGGGGCCCTTCATACCTGTTCCTTGTCGACCC